GAATCATTACAAATCAAATACAACAGTGGGAAGTCGGGTACATCAACCTGACCCCCCCCCCCCCCCCCCCCCCTATTTGGATAAGAATTTAACTCTTCGCAGACCGATTAGGAAGTAGAAGTAAAAAAGTACAGGAGGCTATAAAATACAATGATAAATCATACACAAAATAACTGTACAATAGCAGACAGTAAGGGAAAGGGTCAGGCAGAGACGTCTGGGGCTTCCCTATAAATACCCCCCCACCCCCCATTGGGAAAGGAATTTAACCCTTGTGGGGGGTACAAATAGGGAAAAAAAAGTAAATAAACATTGGGCACATGAAACATTAGGCTGTGGAATCATAACTCAAATACAACAGTGGGAAGTGGGGTACATCAACCTGACCCCCCCCCCCCCCACACCAATTTGGATAAGAATTTAACCCTTCGCAGACTGATTAGGAAGTAGAAGTATAAAAGTCCAGGAGGCTATAAAATACAATGATAAATCATACACAAAATAACTGTACAGTAGCAGACGGAATAACGGAGAGGGTCAGGCAGAGAAGTCTGGGGCTTCCCGATAAATACCCCCCCCCCCCATATAGAAAGGAATTTAACCCTGGTAGGGGTACAAATAAGGAGGGGGAAAAAGTCATAAACATCATATACACAAGGCTCTGGAATCAAGTTGTAAATCAGATACAACACAGTACACAGAGTAAGGGAGAGGTCAGGCACCGCACTACGTGTTACCTGGGAAAAGCAGGAGCCCCCATAAATACCCCGCACTGCGGTAAGAATTAAACCATGGAGGGGGTACATAGGAGGAGAGGAAAATAATTAACACTGGGTACAGGAGGCTCTGGAGCAAAATATAAAATTACATACAATCAAAAACAAGAGCATAAATAAGTAGCACCCAGAGCAATGGAGAGGTCAGGTACAGCAACCTGGTCCCACCCCCCAAAAAAACGCAGTGTACCTCGATTAATACCCCACACTAGGGGTAAGGATGTAACCCTTTGAAGACTGGTGAGGATGTATAAGAAAAATAATAAACACCAGCTACAGGAGGCTCTAAAAGACAATGATAAATCATATACAAAATAACAGCACACATAGTAAGGGAAGAGGTCAGGCATAGCAGTCTGAGCCCCCCCTCCCCATATAAATACCCCTCATTGAGAAAGGAATTTATCCCAGGTGGGGTACAAAGAAGCAGAAAAAAAAAAGTAATAAAAACACGGTACAGGGAGGCTCTGGGATCCTATTATACATTATATAGAACACAATATAACAGCCGTACACACAGTAAGGGAGAGGTCAGGCACTGCGCTGTGTCCCCTGAGAAAGGAAGAGGGCCCCCCTATAAATACCCCACTGCGCAGAAAGAATCAAACCAAGGAGGGGGTACACAGGAGAGGAAAAATAATAAACACCGAGTACAGGAGGCCAAATATAAGTCATATACAATACAAAACAAGAGTATAAATAGCACACAGAGTAAGGCAGAGGTCAGGTACAGCAACCTGCCCCCCCCCCCCCCCAAGGCAGGGGCCCCAGATAAATACCCCACACAGGGGGTAAGGAATTAACCCTTTGCAGGCTGGTGAGGATGTATATAATGAATAACAAACACCGGCTACAGGAGCCTATAAAGAACAATGATAAACAATACACACAATATCAGACCAGCAGCACCCAGAGCAAGGCTGGCCATACACTATACAATTTTCTGTCCAATTTCTGCCCAATTTCCTTTAGATTTACCTTCAACTGTGTAGTGCAACGGCCGGCCTAATTGGGTACAATTGAAAGTGTTGTTTACGTTTGACCTCATATTATATGGTTTTTGGTAAATCTAAAGCAATTTTCTAAAGAAAATTGTATAATGTATGGCCGGCCTAAAGAGAGAGGTCAGGCACAGCAGCCTGGGGCCCCAGAAAGGCAGGACCTCCCCCATAAAAACCCCACACAATGGAAAAGGAATTTAATTCCTGGTGGGGGTACAAATAAGGAGGAAAAAAGAAATAAACACTGGGTACGGGGGGGGGGGCTCTAGAATTACGAATCATACATAAAGCAACAGTACAGCGGCACACAGAGTAAAGGAAGAGGTCAGGCACTGAGAAAATCAGCCCCCCCCATAAATAATCAATGTAATCTTGTGAGATGCTATGGTACCTGTACAATTATTAGTGCCAAAATCAATGCCAAAAAATAATACGTGGAAACAGTAATCGCCTACACCATACCCATACAAATGTGTCGTCAATACGCAAATACAATAAATACCCCCCAATTGGGAAAGGGATTGAACCCTGGAGGGGGCACAAATAAGGACAAAAAAGTAACCAACGGGCACAGGAGTCTCTGGAGTGATACAATCATAAATAATATCAGTAGAGCAGCACACAGAGTAAGGGAAGAGATCAGGCACTGAGAAGGGCAGCCTCCCCCCATGTATAAGGACTGAACCCTGGGGGGGGGGGTACACAGGAGAGGAGACACAATCAGTACAGGAATGACATTATACAATCTATAGCAGGGGTGTTAAACTGCGGCCCTCCAGCTGTTGCGGAACTACAAATCCCATGAGGCATTGCAAGGCTGACATTTACAAGCATGACTCCCAAAGGCAGAGGCATGATGGGACTTATAGTTCATCAATAGCTAGAGGGCCGTAGTCTGACACGTGTGATCTATATGACAGCAGCAGCACACAGTAAGGGAAGAGGTCAGGCACTGGGAAGGGCACCCCCCCATATATAAGGATAGGACCCTGGGGGGGGGGGGGGGTACAGAGAAGAGGATACAGTCAGGAGAGGGATGACATTACACATGACAGGACAGCAGAAAACGGGAAGAGATCAGGCACTGGGAAGGGCAGCCCCCCCATATATAAGGATAGGACCCGGGGGGGGTTACAGAGAAGAGGAACAGTCAGTAGAGGGATGACATTACACATGACAGGATAGCAGCACACAGAATACGGGAAGAGATCAGGCACTGGGAAGGGCAGCCCCCATATATAAGGATGGGACCCTGGGGGGGGGGGTACACAGGAGAGGGACACAGTCAGTACATAGATGACATTACACATGACAGGACAGCAGCACACAGAGTACGGGAAGAAGTCAGGCACTGAGAAGAGATCAGGCACTGGGAAGGGCAGCCGCCCAAATATAAAAATGGGACCCTGGGGGGGGGGTACAGAGAAGAGGACACAGTCAGTACAGGGATGACATTACACATGACAGGACTGCAGCACACAGAGTACGGGAAGAAGTCAGGCACTGGGAAGAGATCAGGCACTGGGAAGGGCAGCCGCCCAAATATAAAAATGGGACCCTGGGGGGGGTACAGAGAAGAAGACACAGTCAGTACAGGGATGACATTACACTTGACAGGACAGCAGCACACAGAGTACGGGAAGAAGTCAGGTACTGGGAAGAGATCAGGCACTGGGAAGGGCAGCCCCCCCCCCATATATAAGGATTGGACCCTGGGGGGGGGGGGGGAGAGAACACAGTCAGTACAGGGATGACATTACACATGACAGTACAGCAGCACACAGAGTACAGGCAGAAGTCAGGCACTGGGAAGGGCAGCCCCCCATATATAAGGATTGGTCCCTGGTGGGGGTACACAGGAGAGGACACAGTCTGTACATAGATGACATTACACATGACAGGACAGCAGCACACAGAGTACGGGAAGAAGTCAGGTACTGGGAAGGGCAGCCCCCCATATATAAGGATTGGACCGGGGGGGGGGTACACAGGAGGGGACACAGTCAGTACAAGGATGACATTACACATGACAGGACAGCAGCACACAGAGTACGGGAAGAGGTCAGGCCCAGCAGTCTGCCCCCCACTGGTAGAAGCATTGACACTACGAGACTGGAGGGGGGTCTCATACAGCAGGCCCGGGGCCAGCTTCCCCTCCAATCAGCGCTCTCTGATCTCAGGCCTAGCTCAGCCTGGAAACTTTCCTCCCCGGATTGGCCCCCCTCGGCACCCGGCGCCTCGCTCTCTCCCTCTCACCTAGGAAACACCCCGGCTCTCCTCCCCGGGATTCCGCGCCGGGCCCGCCGCTTCCTCCTCCGCCGCCGCCGCTCCAGCGCCTCCCATCAAGCTTCCAGCCGCTGGGCCGGCAGACGGTGCCAATAACAAAGCCAGCGCGGCTGCGTGCCAGCCATGCCCCGGCGAGCGCCTCTCCGTGTCTGTGTGTGAGGGGAGAGTGTGTGTGTGAGTGTATGTGCGTGTGTGAGAGAGAGCCACAGCTAACCGTGCGTGCGCGCTACCGACCGACTGCCATCGCCGTGCACGAGCGCCTGCTGTTGCTGAGGGGCGGGGAGAGAGAGAGCGCGTGCACAGCTGAGGCTAGAAACCTTGCGGGAGCGCGCATAAGGCTCCTCTGCCTGACAGGAATGCTGCAGTGATATAATAATGACAATAATATCAGAATAAAGAATAGAATAATACTGACAGTACGATATTACCTTCGCTTTACCCCCTCGCCCTCCACAGGCTTTACCCCCTTCCTGACCAGGCCATTTTTTTTTGTGATAGGCGCTGCGTTATTTTAACTGACAATTGCGCGGTCATGCAACACTGTACCCAAATGAGATTTGTAGCCTTTTTTCCTAGAAATGGAGCTTTTTTTTGGTGGAATTTAATCACCACTGGGCTTTTTTTTTTTGCTTTATATATGAAAAAAGACTGGATGTAGGATTATAACTTTTTTTTTAATGGTTGAACTAGATCAGTGGTTCTCAACCCCCTTTGGGGGTCGAACGACCCTTTCACAGGGGTCCCCTAAGACCATCAGAAAAGACATATTTACGATGTGTAAAAAGCAGCTACTGTGTTGAAAGCAGCTACTGTGTTGAAAGCAGCTACTGTGTTGAGAGCAGCAGTATTGGAGGTAAAACGACATTCATGAATTATAATTACTGGGTAAATAATTTTATGGTTGGGGGTCACCACAACATGAGGAACTGTATTAAAGGGTCACGGCATTAGGAAGGTTGAAAACCACTGAACTAGATGGACTTTTGTCTTTTTTTCAGCCAGACTAACTTTTATTTTAATGGTTGAAATGGATGGACTTTTGCCTTTTTTTTTAGCCAGACTAACTTTTATTTTTTTTAATGGTTGAACTGGATGGATGTAACGGAACCAGACCCCGACTGCACTAGGGTATTTCCGATAGACTCCCGCTTCCCTGTCCGAACACTGATCCATGGACACCACCGCTGACCAGGGGTGGACTGACAACTCATGGGGCCCCTGGGCAATAGGGGATCATTGGGCCCCTGTGTCCTTGCCCAAACTCAAAAAAGCCTATGAAAAAGGTACCAGGGGCATCTCATGGGGCCCCCTACTGACCTCGGGCCCTCGGGCAGTGCCTGAGTTTCCAAATGGTCAGTCCGCCCCTGTCGCTGACCATACAACACTAGCCAAGACCAGTCTTGAAATAATTCAGGAAATAGACTGCTTTATTTTAACACAGACACAAGATATAAACATTCAAGGGAACAACCCCCTCCCTGCATATGGACACAGGGCGGGGCAAACCAAATCTAGCAACCAGAGACACATCAGCAGACACCCCCCCACCAAGCCAATACACAAACACATACATCCCATAATAGTTTGCTCCCAAGCAAGACACACAATAGAACAATGGGATACACCACATTGCAGTAAGCAATGAACAGCCCCCACCTATATATGTCTACACAATATCAGGACATTTCACCCTGCACCCCTACCAGGCACAGTGTGACTTACACATAATAGGGATATGGGGAGCTAAGACAGGGGTCTCCCCACCTCTCCAAAGTGAGCTGGGTTCCATGGGCCCCCCCACCCAAAGTCATTCCCGTCACAATGGACTTTTGTCTTTTTTCGGCCAGACTAACTATGTAACTATGTCATTTTGCAAGAAAAAAAATGTGTTTCTTAGTTTCTGTTATAACATTTTGCAAATAAATAATCTTTCTTCATAAATTTAGGCCAAAATGTATTCTGCTACATTTCTTTGATAAAAAAAAAAATATCCCAAATCAGTATATGTGAATTGATTTGTGTGAAAGTTATAGAGTCCACAACCTATGGGGTATACAGTTGTGCTCAAATGTTTGCACACCCCCGCAGACATGGTGACATATTGCCCGTGATATTGATAATATGACTAATCATGCCAAAAAAAGCCTTTTATTTGAGCACAGTGATGATATGAAGCCATTTATTATTAGATCATTGTTTGGCTCCTTTTCATATCATATTGATAACAGAAATCAGCTGAATGACCCTGATAAAAAGTTTCCCTCCCCTGGAATGTTTGGCCTTGGTACTATTATTATTATTATACAGGATTTTTTTTTTAACAGTGTTTATTCATATAAAGCTCCATGTACACGGGACACTTCTGAATGATGGAAACTGACTGCTGGAAAACATAGGTTAAAAAACGCCTGTTTAGCCGCGTTTGCATACTGCGTTTATGAGCGTTTGCGTTTAGAATCGCTTTTTTAACCACCACCTCTCGTCCGGCCGTTGTATATAAACGGCCGGATGGTGGCACTGCAGGGTCGGGTGGCCGTTTATAAACAGCCTCCCTGCACCCTGCTTGTGCGCACTCCCTGGGAGCGCGCAGCACCGTGATCCGGTGCCTGCTGTGTCCTCCGGACACAGTGGAACATCAATCTGTACGAGGTCCCGATCATGTGATCACTGATTGGCCAATCAGTGATCACATGCAAAGTAGTAAGCAAGATGTCACTTGTGACATCAATGCTTACTACATGTGAAATCTGTGAATGATCACAGAGGTCACATGGTACAAGGCTATTCACAACAGCATTGTACCATGTGACAAGCTGTGACCAATCACAGCTCACTCAGTAGTTCTCAATGGCTGCAAGAATACAGCTAGAGACAAGGAGATGATTGCTTTTACATCCTTTATGGGTGTAAAAGCAATCAGTGTAAAAAAAAAAAAATCTTCATTACCCCCCACAAGTAGTACAGTGTCACCATGGTGACACTGTACTGCTAGGGTGACAGTATGTAAAAAATAATAATAATACATAAACAATAATATAAAAAAATTAAAACAAATGTAAAAAAATGTTGAAAAATTATCATTTTGGTTATAAACTAATTTGGGTTATTTTTTGTTTTACTAAAAATATAACGGAATACATTTTGGCCAAGATTTATGAAGAAAGATTATTTATTTGCAAAATTTTATAAGAAAAACACTTTTTCAAAATTTTAGGACTTTTTCATTTATATAGCAAAAAAAATAAAAATCCCAGCGGTGAATAAATACCTCCAAAATAAAGTTTTATCTGTCTAAAAAAAATGCTAAAAAAATTCATATGGGTACAGTGTTGCATGACCGCGCAATTGTCATTCAAAGTGTGATAGCGCTGAAAGCTGAAAATTGGCCTGGACAGGAAGGAGGTAAAAGTGTCCGGACTGGAAGGGGTTATAGATAACCTCAGGAGAATGCACTGAAAAACAGTAAAAAATTAACTATTTCAGACATTTTGAGAGAAATAGAGAGAGCAGAAGCAGAGTGAGCAGTATGTGTTGAGATTAGCTGTCTCTCTTTTTTTTTTTGTGGTGTTTGGATGTGTTTTAGCTCGTTTCTGTGCAGAAATTATTGCATCGGGTTCTAACATATTTCCTCAAAGTATGATGTACCGGGTCCATTTTAGTACCGGGAAAACGCTTTGTATGCATTTTTCATGATGAAAATAAGGCTCTGGACAGCCTCTGGAAATGGAAGAGTTAAAAAAAAGTTTCCAAACGCAAATGCTTATAAATGCGGTTAGCCGCGTTTAGCCACGTTTGCACACGTTTGACGTTTGAAATGCTGATAAAATCTACTCCTGAACGCAAGTTTTGGTGAGTTAAAAAAAAAAGACTGTAAACCCAACTGCCTGTAAACGACGATGTGTACATGGACACATAGGAGAACATTAGGGAGAGTTCAGGGGCTGCTGGAAAAAAAAACGCAGAAAAGCTCCTGAACGTCAGTTTATCAGCTGCAGTGTACATAGGGCCTTAAGCAGAACATATGAACATCAATGAACTACAAAAAGCTTTGCATGTTGTGAAGTTATGTAGTACACAACAACAAATGTTGGCTTCTGAAAAAAAACTCGATAGTGGAATCAGTACTTCTCTAAGTCATTTAAAGCAAAGTAATGGATGGGAGAGAGAATGTAATGCATGCTGCAACCATCTCCCTCCACCTTCCTCCCAGCCTTCAATTTCCCTTGAATCGGTAAATGTGGATTGAAAAAAGAAAATAATAACACCAGTGTATGAACAGCTGGTTTAATGACCAACCAGCCATCTGAATCCCAAAATTCTGCTGCTCTCTGACCTAACCTTTTTGGTCGGGAATTGATCCACAAGAGGACCACGTCATCACAAGGAATTGGCAAGGGTCTGGCCATTTCAGTTGGGAATCACAGAGCTGAATCATGCCCCCCCAGAGAAACAACAGTGAGAAAACTGGAGAGAGGACATATGAGTATCGCTGGCTTTACAAGATATATCACCTCTGGATGGATCATACATCCATAAGTGGAAATCTGCCTACCTAGAGAGCAATACCAGGTTAACCCATCATAGGGGAACCCCAGTGGACGTGGATCACCTGTAAAGCCCTAAGGATCCTGTCTGACGATCCATCATCCCTTAGAGCAGTGGTTCTCAACCTGTGGGTTGCGACCCCTTTGGGGCTAAAAAGGCCCTTAAAGAAAGCGAGTAGCTGTGTGCGTTTAAAAGGCTCTACCACCTTGAAGCGAGTTCCCACATGATTTATATTGATTTATTGACATTTATACGTTTTTAGCTCTGCACCTTTCTGTATACAAACATACTATTGCCTGGACCTTGAAGAAGGGGATATTCCCCAAAAGCTTGTCCTCAAAATTGTATGTTAGTGCAAATAAAAAAAGTATCACGTCAGTACTCAGTTGTTTCTGTCGCAAGTGCACTAATACAGCTACAATCAGCTCAAGTACAAACATCAAATCTGAAATAAGAAAGTTGATGAACAGAAGAAGGAGATGAACAGGAGGAGAACAGCAGTCGTAAGAACAGATCCAATCCCACAAGCGGAGTCGAGTATCCACCAGCAGGATACGCACATCAAAAAGTTGAAAATTCGCCCATCAGCCCTCTATACGTTTCTGAGACAGTGAACGCGTACCAACTGGACCATAGTTTATGAAATCTGGCAACCATATCATCGGTCATAGACAATGTTCTTTCCAACTCCTGAATGATGTTAACCTCTCTTATCCAGTCTTGAATGGAGGGGGCATGAGTGAGTCTTCCAATGCCTGGGGATTAGGGACTTGGCTTCATTCAAAAGGTGCCGAACCAAGGATTGCTTGTACGATTTCAAAGAGCACTCAGAGATATAGAGGAGGCAGCATTCGGGGGTTAAGGGTAATAGGAGTATGGATTCTCCAGTGCTTCAGGAGATGGACAGCCAAAGGGAAGCCAAGGGGACCAGGACAGAGTTAACCAAAAGAAGATGCCTCAGGGGTGCAGCCCTCCTCAGACGAGGAGATCAGCCACTAGATAAAGAATAAACAGGTGGCGCACACACCTAGTGCAATATCCAAGGTTTATTCAAAGGCATAAAAGACAAAACACATACTCACAGAGGAAGCATGTATAAAAAGCTATTGCATTATGAAGATGGCCACAATGGCAAGCAAGGTGTCCCGAAACACGTCAGCCATTTGACCGCACGCACTGACAGTTGGAACACCTCGCTTGCCGTTGTGGCACTAGGTGTGTGCGCCACCTGTTTATTCTTTATTCAGTAAAAGAGTATGTCAACTTACGAACTTTGTCCCAAAACGGCATAAGCCTTGGGCATTGCCACCAAATATGTAACAGGGAGCCCTCGGCTGATTCACTGCACCAACATGGGCCTGATGTCTGGGAGAACCACCTCTTTAACCTATCCATACTTCTCCTCCAGAGCTCATCATCCTCCCACCTCCTCCTCCGCCCCGCACACCATCTATTGTTCCCTCTCTCATCCCTAGTCTCCTCTCCATTCTGGACAGCCCCTACTGCCCATGACGTAAAG